GCCACACTGTGTACGTGTGTTTTAGAGACCCCCTTTAGCTTGGTTTATACAACAGTAATAAAACTTGTCTGAAATGCAATTTGAGATTAAAAACTAAATAAAACCACATCAATTTTCAGAAATCTGCTTTTTTTTTCAGCCTAAGCCGATCTGTGCATACACATATAGTCAACTCTCAGCTAAAATAATCTCTAATTTAGTTATAGCTTGTTGTGTGACTGTTGTTTTCCTAAACTCTTTAATACGTAGGATATAGCCAGACTCTCTTAGGGGAATCGAATGGCGGAGGAACGAATTTAAACATAACCTTTCCTTGTGTCTTCCTCTGTCTCCAAAAGGAAGGTGCCTCAGGGTCATCATCCATCCATTCATTCATTTGACAACATTTTTTCCGTGCTTAGTATGTGCCAGGTGATGTTTTAAGTTCTGTGGTTACAGCTGTGGACAAAACAGGCACAGTCTGCATGGGTGTATTTACACTCAGAGTACGGGGGAGAAATTTTTTTAAAATAATATTTTTGGATGTTATAAATCCTATGAAAAAAATATTAAACAGGATTAAGAAATTGGGGGATTAGGGCGTATGGGTGGGGGGTTATTATATTAGATAATATTTTTGGATGTTATAAATCCTATGAAAAAAATATTAAACAGGATTAAGAAATTGGGGGATTAGGGCGTATGGGTGGGGGGTTATTATATTAGATAAAATGGTCAGAGAATTTTCTTTGAGCAGAGACCTAAAAGAGAAGTGAGAAAGCAAGTGATGGAGATGTCTGGGGATATTCCAGACAGAGGTAAGAGCAAGTGCAAAGGCCCTGGGAAGTGCTCGGAATGTCTGAGCAGCAACATGGATGCAGCATGCAGTGAGTGAGGAGAGTGACAGCCATGAGCCCCAGGAAGCCGGGGGCCAGGTCACTTGCGAATGAATGAATTCCTCTTTCACTCTGAATAAGATGTGAAGCCATTAGGATGCCGAGTAGAGGGGAGTCGTGACCTAATTTAATTTTTGAAAGGATCCCTCTGACTGCTGTGTGAAGAGGAGATTATCACAAGGGTGGAAGCCAGAAGAGCATTTTGGGGAGGATGGCAATAATCAGGTGAGGGGTGACGATGTCTTTAACTGAAGATGAGATGGTTGAGGTGGTGAGAGGTGGTGAGGTTTGGAACGTATTTTAAAAGCACAGCCGAGAGGAAGGTAACCCAAGAGCTCAGTTTTGAATGTGTTAAAGTTGAGAAAGAAGTCCAAGGACTAAGCCCTGAGACATTTGAAGAGATGAGAAAAAAAGCGAAAAAGAAAACAGCAACGATGGGAGGAGGAAAAGAACCGAGAGAGAGTGGTGGCCCAGAAGCCCCAGGAAGAATTGCCAGGCAGCCCTGAGGACCCGTTGAGGTTTATGCTCATGAACTTCAAGTGAGACTTATTTCAAACTGGCTGGAGAAACACTCCACCCACATTTAGCTACTGGGATGTGGGCATGAAGAGGTGGAGAGTTGAATTTAACCGAGATCAGATTTTCCCAGAAGAGTCTGATTTGGGGCAGGAGGGAAGTATAAAACAGAAAGTGGTTATAAGGATGGACCATGGACTCTGTACTTTACAAGAAGAGAAGGGAGGACATGGTAGGCCAGTGAATTGAAGAATCAAAGGGTTATTAAACTATTAATATCACCCTTCAGGATCCTGTGTGATAATGCAGTTCAAACTGTACCATTAATGATCATTAATGGGTTCCGTGCCTATGTGGAAAGAGTAGGTATTAAGGAGTGGTAAATTAACAGAAAACTGAAAAATAATACAGCAGTCTAATAATTGTATTTGAAATGCCTTGCATTTATATAATATTCTCATGTTTTCCAAACCACATCCAAAGATCTTTGTCTCATTCCATATTCTCAGATATATCATGGCCAGAGAAGACAGCTTTACCAAAGTCTCAGAAGAATCTTAGAAGTCTTAAAAGAATAAAGTTATTATTATATCAGCCCATTTTCTAGATTATAAAGCATTTTAATGCTTATAAAACATTTTAAATATCCACTTATCTCTTGAAATAAGTTTATAATAGTGTGTGTTTAGCTGAGTATGGTTTCTTATATAGTTATTTAACTTTTCCTATCAAAATTAAAATATCGATTTTCAAACAAGACCCACAAATAAAGAGTTAATGTCATCAGAGAATGACATATATTAAATTCAAATAATAGTAGCAACAGTGTTACATTTGACATGTCCATGGAGATTCATGAAATGGGTCTTAAAGTGTTGAACTTGATATCATATAAATACATTTTATTTTCTTGGATAAAGCTTTGTGAGATGAAGCTGAGCATGTAGTTCTGGCCCTTGAGTAAATCCTACAGAATCCTTTAAATGCCTGCAAAGGAATCATATTAAGAAAATTCTCCATCCGTATTCTCTGCATGCCCCCAATTCCACGCCTTTGTGCCCTCTTCACTCTATTCTTTTCACCTGAAATGCTCATTCCCTCCTATTTTCTAAAAAATAAACTCTACCCTCTCCCAAGGGAGATTCAAAGTGCAAGTCCTACGGGACATTTTTCCTAATTCCCCTAAAGTGAAATGAATTTCTTCTTTCACTTAATTGCTTTGTGTCACTGTTTTGTTTTTTAGATATCTAAGCACACATCTCTTACCTACTAAATAAGCTTCTAGACAAAAAGCTCCTTTGTAGTTCTAAAAAGCTTCTAGAATGAATTTTTGCACATCAAAGATCCTTTTGGGAAAATCTAGATTAATTCAATTAGGGGTGCAGAGGGCCACCTGGGCTGGGAAACCGGAAGGGCAACCATTAGGGGTCTCTCCCCGAGGGAGGACCTGAGGACGCGGCCGTTGTCACCCCTCTCAGCAATTCCAGGCAGCTCTGAAGATGCGCTTGGGAAGCAACTAGGTTCTGAGACCTGGCTTCCTCCCTGCAACCACCGCTCCCAGGAGGCCCCAGGCTAGAAAGATTCTCTCTGTTTAAAACTCTCAACCAAGGACGATTCTAGAAGCCTTTCTGATTTCCTCTGGAGTCAGAAATGCCCATATAAACAAGGTGTAACTCAAGGAGGTATCATGGATTGGGGTGAAATGCTTATTGTTTTCCTAGAGAATTTAGTAAACTGTAACTCTATTATTATTGGTAGTGTTATTAACTTGGCATACCTTAACTACTACATTTATTTGGGTATTTTCTCACTCCATCTCCTACACTGGAGTCTTATGGCCTCTTCTCCCAGTACTCTCCTTCCCTCTTTGGCTTTTCCCTGTCGCCATCCCCACCCTTCACTCCCCGCACACGTATGGCAGTCGTACAACTGACCTCAAATTCAGGAAATGGCTTGGCTTCAGGATCCTCCCCTTCTTGCCTTTCTTTTAAGCAGCTGGGATCCCCAAGTTGCTGACACTATTCCTGGGCGTCTTCTGCTCTTCACCATTTCCAGTGTCCTCCTCTGCTCCTAGCCAAACTAGGTTTCATTCCATCAGGACCTTGACCTCAGTTCCCTATTTTGGTAACTAGTTCTCTAATAAATTAATCCACATTGTTCTGATGAGTAGTAGCATATCAATTTTAAAAAGTGTTTTTAAGCTTAGTCACTCCTCCTTATTCTTCCTTAATTGATAACGTTTATTCATTTTTTACTCTGGTCATCAAAACATAATAGTCCCCAAATTTCATCTAGTCCAAAATAGTAGCTAAGCACTTAGCCTAATTCCTGGCACATAGTAGACCAACTCAATAAAATATTAATATTTATTGAGTGAGTGAATGAATGAATGGGTTCAAACAGTAATTGTGCTTGGCTTCCCAGTGAAATAAAATAAAAGCTAGATATTAATGAGAGAAGTATTTTTAGACAAACAGTTTGCAGTATCACGGCTCAGCTTCCTTATAAATGTCCATAATGCCTATCCCCATATTTCAAGAAGACAAAATAGATTCTTCTATCTAGTTACCCCGCATGCCTTTTTTTTTCTATTTGATTTGGAAATTATTTCTATTAATACCAATGGATGCTTTGTATTTAACGTTTCTTTTAAAAAGATTGAATTGGATTAACAACTTCTTACTTTGGTTGAAGTGCAAGAAAGAGGAAATCTGGTCAACCTCCACCCTTCCCAACTACTTTCATCTTCTTTTCTTCATCTCCCTGTCTAGTTCTTAACCACCATCACTCTTAAGCCTCAGAGGCACCACTAATATTAATATTTTAAGACAGTCCAAGGGAAAAAAAAATTTGAAGTTACAGTTAGGTTAGCTGCCTAACCCTTGTTTTGTAGCAGAGTACACTTGAAACTTAAATGAAAAGGAAATTTTAAGAGCACTTTTTTCATACAAATACCCTCCCTGGTTTTCAAAATTTTCTCTCACACATAAACATGCAGATTTGGCCTGAAGGAAGGCTTAAGAAAGCCATCTTCTCCTCTTGTCATTGGAGACAAATGAAAAGAACTGTTTAGTTGTCCAGATCTCTGTTGAATTCGCCATGATTTCTATGAAACCCTGATTGAGTTACTGTCTAGACATGAACGAGACTGAGCCAGAGGAGCCATGGCGGTGGCAGACTCAGACCCTCGATGCTCACATGCCTGTCTCCCTCCTTTTTAAGTGTGCAAATGTGAATAAAAAGTGGGGGAAATGATGCAAAGACAGTAAAGTTCTCCATGTGCAAAAAGTAGATTTTTGCATCAATGGAAACTGAGGCTTCTCAAATTTTAAAAGGTGTACACCTGCAAATGCTTCTGTTCATCTTGTCTGCCAAGAATTAACAATCTTCAGTCATGTTCTGAATGTCCGACCTTTCCATCCTGCTTGAAACAGATGCTACTTCCATGCCAGTCACAACCACCTGTTGTCACCATGTGTCATGCTGAATCACATGTATGTAATGCCATTCCACCATCTTTTCTCCATCCCTCATTTTATCCAAGCATGTAGCGTGCTATTACTCTGCTACTGTATACACTCTGTATACATTTCTGTTCTTCCTTGCAAGACTGTGAATGCTTCGGCCACTCCAATCGATGCAGTTATATCGATCTGCTAAATACAGTCATTTGCGTGAGCTGTAAACACAACACTAGAGGGCAGCACTGTGAGTTATGCAGGCTGGGCTACTTCAGAAATGCTTCTGCACAGCTGGACGATGAGAATGTGTGCATAGGTCAGTTCCATTATAGTTTCATCTATTATTCTGTGCCTTTTGAGCTATGGGGAGCTATTTAGGCTGGCGATTTGCACCACCGCTGAGCCAGAATGAACTTTCGCAATGGAGCAAATATCCTTGTGGTAGACTTAAAATTCACTTGTACTGGTTGCAGTCATAGTTGGGGGATATATTTTGAATCCTTATGTTGTTGTCGCTTTAAAAATGATAATCTGAGATATTGTGTTTAGGAGATGAAGAATTCTCTTTCTTCCTTTTTTTTTTTTTTTGCATGAAATTTTAAAACCTGATAATTTCAAACTGATCTTACGGCCTTAAATTATACATTCACCTTTTAAAATGGAAACTCATTATATGAGATTTAATTACAGATATGAAAAATTTGGGTACAAACTCTTGCACACAATTGGTGACCAACAAGTATTGAAGGATTAAAAATGTTGCCATTTGGGATTGAAAGCAACTAGCAACTGGTAATGCAGAAGTTTGCCTGACTTTTCCATCCATAGTAATGAAATTCCATTTATTGAATTTTCCTATAGCCCCCAAAAGGACGAGAAATTTCTTAAAACTTTTCTAGGCAGTTAATTCTCTTAGCTTCCAAGGTGCAGTAGCCCTAAGTCCACAGAACTTGCTTATGTACTCTCCCTGCCGCACTGCCAATGACTGCTCCTCCTGTCTCCTGGGTGAACCAGATCCCTTTCCCACCCAGAAAAGCTTCTCCTACGTTTTGTATGTAGAACCTGTCTTTAAAAATGGGATACCAATGGAAAAATAAGAAAAAAATAAATGGAATTTCATTTCATAATTTACTCTCAAGAAATGCCTATATTTGAAATGCTGAATGATATGTGTGTGTCTATTACCATGATAGGTGGCTATATAGGCACCTAATTTTAAAGGTAGAATTTTCACATAGAGACTACATTCAATGGAATATATGAGCTTAAAAATGACAGATATTCTTTTTATCAAAAAAAAAAAAGGAATCCAATCAATCTGTATTTCTGGGATTATTGTTCTCTGATTGGATTGTCAAGATCCAAGTGTCACATAAAATAGATGTGAAGTTGTTTTTAACTAAATTTGGACAAGTATATATAATACTGTCTATGTCTACAGTATTTTCTATTTTTTAAAGCACCTCCTTATTTATTATTTGTGAATTAGTGGAGAAATTACTGGACTTAGAGGCTGGAGAGCTGGGTTCAAATCCCAGTCTGCTATTTAATAGGTCTGTGCCCTTGTTAAGTTATTTGAGCCTCCTAGTCAGATCAGGATCATTGACACAACAGTGGGGTAAGTATTGACACTGATAATTTTCCCTGTCTTCTAGTTGAGAAAAATAAGGCAAATTAGCTCAAATCATACAACGTTAGCAAAGGGTTTCCTGACTTCAAAGCTTAAACACTTTTTCTCAACCACTCTGACACAATTAGCAAAGCTAAGCTTGTCAGGCTTTTACTTACAGTATGCTTTTTGGACGGCAGCAGCAATTCCACTAGGAGCATATGAACAGAAGTTCAGTTGCCTTCATAACACTTGGGTTACGAAGATTTGAGGATATTAATAAAAACCAAAAGATGCATAGCTGAATTTTGAATGCAGAGTATATTTCACGGAATGCCAATTGTAAAAATATATAAATGTCACACTATAAATACAGAAACAATAGAAAAGGTAAAATAAATAGGGATAAAATCTAATCATTTTTACAAAATACATGAGATTAAAATGTTTTAAAATATTTGAATATTATTTTAAATAAATGCATAAAAGATCTTAAAAGATTTTACTCCATAAAATTTCTCGTGGCAGGTAACATAACAATATCCCAATATGTTTTACTCAGAGTATTCTGTTTTTATGAAATCTGGCCTTTTTCCAGTCCCAAAGTAAACTATGAACTACAAATCTGCATCTTTCTATCCAGCTTTAAGAGGTATAGTTCTGTTGTAAATCTGTGTTTGACTAACACCCTAGAAAATATCTTGTTCAGCTTTTGTTTTTTAAATCACATAATTACAGAAGAAATATGGAAAGCTTAATATCCATTTTTACATTTATTTTTACTTTTAAAAAATCAAGAACAATTTTTTACTCTATTTCTAGAAAGTTTGTTAATTAAAATTATAGACCTTTGGAAAATTTTATTTCATTGAGGCAAACATGTTTATATTTAGTGTTTATACTCTTCAAACCAAGTAAAATGCTTGGCAAGCACAAAGATGAGCATTTTAGGTACCATTAAAATTAACTACATATCCCCCACACAACAAAATTCCTTGTACTGTTGCTCTTTTCCTAAAGGGGAAAGTTATTTTTAAAGAATGAGCTGAAAAATTTGGCTAGCCAGTATGTGCTAAGGTCTATCTTTTATCTTCAGTCTTTATATGCATACAATAAATCAATAATAATTTCCTAAAAAAGCTGTAGAGTCCACTGTTCCCACTTGAGGGGCCAAGGCCGTGATACTGAGGCTGCCTGTGCACAAGGCGGAGGATGGAGTTCGCTCTCCCAGGGCCTTGGAAGCCTGTGGCCCCATAGTCAGCATGAGCCTGTGGCACAGCAGGAGCCTATTCACTGTTTTCCACACTTAAGCTTCCCTAAAGGGCTTGAGGCAGGACTGAGTATTAAATTTGTGAGGATACGCCACAAATAATTGAGAATTAATTTTAATGCCATTTTGTACAGAGAGCATTAATGAAAATGAATGAATATTTACTCAATTTAATTTCACAGAATAGGCACTAATCTTGGAAACTTTGAACTTCATCTAAGTCTTCTCTAAATTAAAAAAAGGCACTTTGCCAGTTCTATAACAATTGGCAGTAAAATTTACCACTGTGGCTGTGAAGAAATAGCTCATATCTTTGACAAAATGTAGGCTCTGCATTGAAATAGATGTTTTAAAATATTTGCATCATTTTATATTGTGGCAAATATAAAATGCAGCTGACTACTCCATGTTGCCACAGTGATTGCTACTTTGTGATTACTCATAAATTTATCCATTTTTCATATAAATTTCACACACAACCATGTCCCAAAGATGCATGTAATTACCCTGTGATGATGTAGCAATTACATGACGATGACATCCTTGCATGCTTCTGTTTCATATAACTTGAGCATTAAGCAGGAAGCTAGAGGATGTGTGGTTTGTGACCTTGGGTAATCACTGTTAATAATCCTGCTAACAACCTTTGCATCAGAAGGAAACACAAGGTTCAGCAGTTGCTGCTAAACACATCTCAAAGTTATGATGTATTATTTTTAATTCCCCTTGAAACCCAGGATCAGATAATCAGAGGTGCCTTAAGTAGAAAAAGCAAAGACAAGGCATTTTTAATACCTATAAATCAGTTGTAGTATAACTTTTTAATCAAGCTTCCAAAAGTGTTTCGTGTTGTTTTGCAATCTAACAGTTCTGCATATTCTTCCCGGTTTTATGGAAGAAAATGTGATCCTCCAAGGCCATTTCCATTGCCCCAGCCTCCACCATTGACCATAGTTCCATAAATGGTATTTTTCAAAAACCAAATTATTTGTTATATAAGGTTAAAGGAAAGCCACACCTCTCCCTGTCCTTTATTTTTAGGACTGTTTGAGTAACATTACACTTATCACTGTATCCTATGACAACCACTGGGATGTACT